GGATATTTGCAATGTATACGGAGAAGGTGTCATAGATGAGTCGACAGCACGGAAATGGTTTGCAAAATTCAACCTAAGGTTGGGCAATAAGTTCGTAGCGTTCACTTCGTGAGGCACCCAGGCTCCCAATTTTTCGACAAATACCATTGAATGGAGATGATTGAGAATAGTTTTGTGGTCACAGTTCATTTTTTCGACTAATTCACGACTAATTTGAGGACCATCCTGCTTTACACGTGCTCGGAGACGCTCTTCATCGAACTCAGAAGGTCTTCCGCTGCGGAGCGGGTTTTCGACGTTAAAATCGCCATTTTTGAATTTTGCAAACCATTTCCGTGCTGTCGACTCATCTATGACACCTTCTCCGTATACATTGCAAATATCCTAGGCTGCTTCAGCAGCTTTTTTGGCCGCGATGAAAAGCGAAGAAGAGCGAGTGTCGAAAGTGCTCATTTTTACCTCCTAGATATTCCATTTCAGAGCCTCAATAGTAATGACGAATGAATCTGCTGAAAAAAACGATTAACACAGTTTTGTAGAGCAGAAAGAGCTCTATCGAATGCATATTATAACTTCTTGCAAATTGCAAAAGGTCACTGTAAAAAAAAGAAAATGTCAAAACGCCACGAACTTATTCCCCAACCTAATAGATAGTCCTTGCATTGAAAATGCCTAGCCACATCTTAGATCACATATTAAACCATAAAAAACACACATAATATGATGAAGCGCACTATATTTATATGCGACAATTACAGTGTCTTTACAGTATCGAATGTACATATACAAACATTGACATGCTTCTACAATAGTAATATACAATATTATTCACAGATCATAAGTTTGCGATTCATGTTAATTGATTTTGAATGATCAATGCCGCCCTTCTTAAAGATGTAAGCAATCAGTTCCGATCAGATAACGGCGCGCAATAAAGAAACAAATCCGAAGCAAGTTTTCATAATCTGTGCGAACAAATCGGTAACATTACTCCTCGATTTATTTACGTTAAACAAGATTTATGTACTCACACTGATAAAGCCGAACAGCGAGAAGGAGTAAAATTTTGCTGCCGTAAGATTCAGTGTTCTGCGTCCATTGCACATGCACTGTAGTAGCAGTTTTTGGCCGCGAGTCGACAGTTTCAGCCAGTTGGCCTCGTAGTATGCGTCGTTTACTTTTATGGACTGAGCAGAAATTTATTCGTACTTTTATTTACATGGTTTGAGGGGAAGAACTTACCTCTGTCTGTAATTGTTCACCTATGAAGGAGTATATGTACAGCATCAACATTATTATCGAAGTGTACATGACGAACGTACACAGTTCGAAAATTTGGTCATCCTAGAAAGGAAATTAATTAACAATTCGGTGTAGAAAAAATTAACAATTTGGTACAGGAAATTTGGATTAATTGTGGACTTTACTGTGGTTATGGTTACTGTAACAATGGTGGTGAATTTACTTAAGATAACTTTATTAATAATTGTTTAATTGTAACATTGTTCATTCTATTATTGCTGTTGCCTTTCGTTTTAATAAATTTTCACCAGGTCGAGGATAAAGTGCCAAATTTTTAAAACGACGTACTACTTTTCCTAACAGATATTCAGCACTAAAGCTAAAAATGATTAAATGGGAGTAAAATTGTGTCCATCATATGTTCGCCACCATTGCTACAGTTAACTAACAGTCCCTTCCTTATGTATTAATTTATGAAATAATAATTGAAATATACACGCAGCATAAGTATCGTGTACAGCGATACAGCTACCCTGATACTTGACTGCAGAAGTTCCAGCGCGAGTATATATTGAAGTGCAGAATTGATAGTATTTGCTACCCTATAAATACAATAAATTAAAAAATAAGTTACAGCACGTTATAATAATATACTCACGCTATTAGTTCCACGTGTCTTCGCACTAACTCCTTAACTTTTACTTGGAACGATTTTTCCGAGTCCTCTACGATATTTTGTATACGATACGACAAAATCGAAAATTTACCACACACGTGCAATGCCAGGTTCAGTATTAGGCTGGCAGTAGTTGTATGGAATAAACCTACCCACACCACTGGGAATTGGTACAGGTACATCAGGATGTAGTTTCGTAAACTTTCTTCGTAGTTGAGGAAAGGTCGAAATCGGACCGGCAATTCGTAGATCATTGAACTGTTACCGTCTCCTGCGAACGAGAGTGTGTTGTTAGTTTTGATTAGTCAAGTCATGATTAGTCAAATCTTGATTGGTCAAATGTCTTGATTAGTGGTTTTTCGCAGTCTTGAATCAGAAAATATTGTTAATGCATGACACTGTACTATGTACAATAACATTATCTTGAAGCACTATTGTTCTAAGCGGCGATACTTAGTTACATCACTACTTGCTAACAAACTAACATAATGTAGAAATAAAGATAGGATAAAGAATTTTGTGCGGGTTAAATCAGTCAGTGCATCACCACTCCCACATCTTATCCTACATAACGTTATAGTTATAAACAATATCTTTATAAACAAGATATTTTTCTATTATCCCTTTATGTATAATTTACATACACTCGAACCTCCAAAGTCCCACAACAATTTCCCAAGATTACTTTTCATAAGAACACTTCACAAATCCATATCTCCCTTTCATCATCCATTCAAATCAATATCTTCTACTATACCATGTATACATACTTGTTAAAAAATACCTGAGCTCGATTTCAACAGTTTCGCCAGAGGAACAAAATAATACAGCAACACCACCATAAAAGTCGTCGATTTCACTACATATTTCCCATAAGTGCTAGAGATGACATTGTAAAATAGATACAGGTGTCTCTCCTCGTTATTACGAAAATCATCCTCCGCGAGCTCGCGTTTCATCATAGCGATTGCACTCTTAATCAGTTTACTGAATCGTAATAGAAACAGCATCATATATGTTGTCGTAATGACTGTGTTGCTTAATATGTTCTCCACCATGAGTTCCAAGTTGCCCATCACATCGTACAGGTCCAAGTTCATCATCACCATGTGGACGGAGAGATATGTCATGTACACGACGAATTTTTTGTACGAATTGTTCAGTGGCCAGGCATCGCATATCGAGAAGATACGTTCGTTCAGAAGAAGCACGTCTTTTATTTTGGTCTCTTTACTCTGGAAGTATATGTTCATTTGGAAAATATAATACTTGTTACAATGTCAAGGATTTAATTTATTTTAAACAGTGTCAAGGATTTGGCAATTTATTTCAAACAATGTCAAGAATTTGGTAATTTATTTTGAACAATGTCAAGAATTTGGTAATTTATTTCAAGCAATATCAATATCCTAATGTTTAGAACTGCATATGTTTTCTGATATGTGTATATGGACAGACTGAATGTTCAAATTTAGAGATTTGCATCAACAGTGCAAGCTTTGCACTTGAAACGCAAGATTCAGAACTGCGATTGAGCTTCTCAAAAAATAGTAAAATCCATTGAATATTTCATATTCAGAACTAGTAGTAAATATAAACAAAAATGTGCAATAATTTTAAAATTAATTAAGGGGAATGAATTTTAAGTAATTAAATATAGTTTCGAGTCATGTTTAAGTCTTACCTTCATTGCGACTGTCAATGAAATCACCATCAATTGACATACGTCTTCAGCAGGTTGCGTTTCACCCACGAGATCGATAAAAAAATTGCTTCTGAAAGTTCTTGCTTATCCATGAGTGCATTCTTAATTCTTACCTATCATTATTTTTCTCCCCTCATATTAAGCAATTTTACAGTCGTACATCTATACTTTGTAATTTATATCTCGTGTTATGTCTTGGTAACATCACTGTCTTCTGCCTTTTTTGTTACCGTAATAATCGTTGTGCGATCTCAATTACCAGCATCATTAGATCTAACTTTCCTTCTCGATGAAATAATTCATGGTAACCTCTCGATAGTTTGTAGTTTGCTGAGAACGTGCAAATGTGGGAGACCTGTTGTGAGGCAGTTGGTGATGGGCTGGATAAATGTGGTCATTGATATGTGACCATCGAGTTCGATGTGAGGTACGTCGTGTAATTGAATCGGGTTAACCTTTCGCTACGTGCACGGTTGCGTAAGATTTCTAATCCTTAACAAGGAATAGTAAGTGTTGTGCAAATTATCCAGTGCTGATACTATTATATGCATTACATTATTTTTACAATATATTTCAAAGTAAATATACAAACATTGACATGCTACTACAGTATAAAAGTAATATAAAGTCATTCAAGGAACATAAGTTTGAGGTTCATGCCCTTGTTACTCGATCTGAATAATCAGTGTCTTCCATTTTTGATGATAAGTGCCAGAAGTAATTCACTCAACGGCTCGCAACAAAGAAACAAATCCAAAGGAAGTTTTCATAATCTATTCAAACAACATAATTCACGTTATAATCAGTAATATTTCTTGGTTTGTAAAGATTTAGTTACTCACACTGATAAAACCGAACAGTGAGAACGAGTAAAATTTTCCTGCAGTAAGACTCAGTGTTCTACGCCCATTACACATGCAATATAGTAGCAATTTCTGGTTGCGAGTCGACAGTTTCAGCCAGTTAGCGTTGTAGTACGCGTCGTTTACTTTTATGGACTGAACACGAAGTTGATTATATTTTTATTTGTATGTTTTGGGGGCTGAACTTACCTCGGTCTGTAACTGTTCACCTAGGAATGAGTAGAGATACAGAATCAAGGTAACTAGGAAAATGTACAGGATGTACGTGATAATTTCCACGACTTGGTCATCCTGGAAAGAAAATAGAATAGAAGTCGATATGGGAAAAATGAAAATTCATACTGATGGATGTTATTGAGTGTGTAGTTACTGTAACAATTGTGGTGAACATGTTTAAGATACTTTAGATAAACGCACTGACTATAATTCAGTTCTTATTGTGGTTATTATGACATCGTCATAAGTATTCTCAAGGATTAAGTTCAAATGCAAAATTATTGAAACAAGTTCGTAATAATATCAAAGTACTTTCATTAGCAGAAACAAGAAATGATGATTCAGATGATAATAAACTAGTTATCGTACGTTCACCATCATTGTTACTGTTAAGTAGAGTGTCTTGCTAGTTTAGAAAACAATTGAAGCATACACGTAGCATAAGTATCGTGTATAACACTACAGCCAGTCTGATACTTGTCTGCAGAAGTTCCAGCGCGAGAATAGATTGAAGTGCGGAATTGATAGTATTTGCTGCCCTGTAAGTAAACACAGCTATGAACTTACAATGTATTAAAAACTAAGAATCAAGAAGTTGCTACTTTCTAGTAGTTACTTTATAACAATTTATTGAAGCTACTAAAAATGTCCGGTTAAGTACCTTACTTCAAATTATAATTTTTGTTACAATTTCGATCCATATAATCAATGAGCTGCGTAAATATAAATCATTCAAACCTTCCAGTTACAGAGAATTCCCATTTCACTCTTTCTAATTGCAAAGAAAATCAAAGACAAGTTCTTTCAAATTTTTTTCTAAAATCTATTTGGGGAATACCTTGCAAATACACCTTGCAAGTACACCTTGCTTTTTTATGCTTTATACATACTTAGTTACACAAACTAACTGAATTCGTGTACAAAAATACTCACGTTATTAGTTCAATGTGTCTTTCCACTAACTCCCTAACTTTTCCTTGGAAAGAATCTTGAGAGTCCTCTGCTATGTTTTGTATACGGTACGACAAAATCGAAAATTTACCACACACGTGCAATACCAAGTTAAGTAGCAGACTTATAGTACTTATATGAAATACCCCTGTACCCATCACGGGCAATTGGTACACGTACATCAGGATGTAGTTTCGTAAATTTTCTTGGTAATTGACGAAAGATCGAAATCGAACTGGCATTTCGTAAACATTTGAAGTATTACCTCCTGTGATCAAAGATATTGTCTTCATTAATGCTTCTTAATTAATGAATTAGCTAATCCTATTAACTATCACATTAGCTAGTTGAAATTTAGCTTCTACGTATTAGTTATATTATTATCATTAATGTTTTACAGGTATAATTATTTTTGAATTGTAATTTCTTTAATTTATTATTAAGTTAACTTCTCTGGTCTAATTTACAGTGTATTGAATCAAAAGGCATTGCTAGTACAGGACATACTACGAAACTTTATTTTATAGCTTTGTATAAGCAAACTTAATTATAATTATAGTTCACGAACAAGTTCATATCGTCAAACTACATTTTATATACTTATATACTTTATTCTACCACATACTTGCTTAAAAAATACCTGAGCCCGACTTCAATATTTTCAACATAGGCGTAACATACAACATCCCCACAGTAAAAATCGTCGTCTTCACCACATATTTCCCAAAACCACTCGAGATGATATTATAAGACAGGTACAGTTGTCTTTCATCATTATTTCGAAAGTCATCCTCCGCGAGCTCTCGTTTCACCATAGTCACAACGGTCTTGATCAATTTACTGAATCGTAATAGAAACAGCATAAAATATGTTGTCGTAACTACGGCATTGTCTAGTATGTTCTCCACCATGAGTTGCAGGTCGCCCATTACATCGTACAGGTCCATGTACATCATCACTATGTGGGCGGAGAGGTACGTCATATAGATCACGAATTTCTTGTAGGAATTGTTCAATGGCCAGGCGTCGCATATTCGAAAGATGCGTTCGTTGAGGATTAACACGTCTTTTATTTGGGGCTCTTGTCCCTAGAAGTATGCGTTATTTTATTGGACCTATAGTTGTAACAATTTTTACGATTTTAGAGAGGTGGTAGTTTATTAAACAAAATATTGCTGAATATTAATAGAAATTAATATTGAAATTAATATAAGAAATTAATATTGACAATTAATATAGCAAGCCTATAATATAAATATAAACAACCTAATCAACTTTAGGGCCAACATATTATTTATGTAAGTAACTATATATTATTTACTTGTATATCATTTACAAGTACTGTATTGCATTATATGTGTAATGAATCGACGCTGTGAATGACCGTATCAAAGCAGTTCATAACAACCATTGTTTCAGAAATGTAAAATATCAAATATATGTCTTGCAAAATTCTGTTAAATGTATATCCGAGAATATCGAAATTGGAAAACTTGATATGATTTTATCCCATAAAACCATCTTAAAATAACATGTAACTGTGCATTGCGCACCAATAGTTTAGTGTTAAAGAAATACAATAAACGTCAAGTATCACAAATAGCAGCAAAGTCCCTTTAAGTCCATTAAATAGTCCAATATTTCACAGCTACTATGTTTGCAAAAATTGTCAATAATTTCAAAGTTAATTATAATTTCAGAGTTAAGTGTTTCACGTAATTAAAAATAGTTTCCAATACCGTCAATTACATCTTACCTTCATCGTGACCGCCGCTGAAATCACTATCCTCGCAATCGTTTTCAATAGGCCGCGTTTCATTTGCGAAATCAATAAAATGATAATGGCCGTTGAAACTTCTTGCCAAGACATAGTGCACCTTTCTCAGCAATTTCCTGTAATTATTTATGCCCCCGTATATTAGGCAATTTTACATTTGCAGAACTTGTAACAAATAATTGCTGTTTGAAGTTTAGTGACCGAACGCTTTCTTCTGACGTTTTTTCTTACCGTGATCGACGGTGTACAAGCAAACTTTGTTGCTAGAATCATTCGAGTCGACGACTTTTCTTGTTGTAATAATTAATAGTGATCTCTCGATAGTTCTCAGTTTAGTGGAGTAATGGTTCAGGTAATTCAGAGGTAATGGCTGATATATTTCTTGTGAAGAAGTTGGAATAGTCGGACTTTTAGAAGAGCTTCGATGACCCATGTACTAACGAAATTAATCGAGATCTGTGTGATATGATACTATTTTGTCTGATATGATGAGGTGCAGTTAATTGTTTGATTGAATCGCTTTTAGACGAGTGTAAACTTTCGCTATACGTGATATGTTGTGCAAATTATCATCAAGTGCTGTTACCATCACGAGCTGTGTGAAGATGAAGTTACTTTGGAATGTTAAGTATCAAATATTAATTTTGCAACAGATTCAAAACATTTATAAAGCTTTGGTATGATGAAATTTTTGATCATTGAAATTTTTATAGATCAGGCACTTTAGAGTCCTCAAAATTGAATTATTTAGAAATTTGGATACTTGCAAGTTCGATAATCTGACAATTTAAAAATCATCAAATTTGAAAATATAGACTGCTATGTCAGAAAAGTATTTTCAAAAATATCATCACATCTCATAAAATGGAAAATCTCAACGTTACACAGCACACAATGTAGAATCCAAATATTTGGTCTCAAATAATTTCTCCACAATTGAGGTAGCAGCAAAAAACATACATGGGTTCATATGATGAAATCAAGTTTTCAGATGTATTTATATACAGCGTTTACAATGTCCTTACAGTGTATTTCAACATGCATACAAACTTTGACATTTTATAATATAAAAGTATCATAAAATATTATTCATAAAATATAGTTCGAAGGGAATACTCTCGATCTACATCGAAAAATTCATATTTTGATCACTCATTTTGATACTCCGAGTTGCAAATCTCCCAAACAAAATTTGTAGGAAGTTTACGCAGATTAAATCACGACTCGCAGCACAGAAACGAATCCGAAGCAAGTTTTCATAATCTGTCCCAACAATCGACGATCGATAACGTTAATTTCTTATTTAACTAGAAAGATGTTTATTTACTCACTTTGATAAAACCGAACAATGAGAACGAGTAAAATTTTCCAGCAGTAAGACTCAGTGTTCTACGTCCATTGCACATGCAATATAGTAGCAACTTTTGATCGCGAGTCGACAATTTGAGCCAGTTAGCGTCGTAGTAAGCGTCGTTCACTTTTGTGGACTGAGGGAGGATTTATTAATACTTGTATTGGTGTAGTATGGATGATACTTACCTCGTACTGTAATTGTTCACCTATGTAGGAGTACAGATACAGCATCAAGGTGACTATCATAACGTAAAGACCGTACGTAAAAATATCCACGAGATCGTCACTCTAGAAATGAAAATTTATATTGACAAATTGAGATAGGAAAATTTCAAAGTATATAGACTCATGGATTTATAGCTGTAGTTATTGTAGCATGATGGTGGCAAAACTTTTTAACGAAATTGTTTGACATTGCAATGGTAATCTGCCGTTGTAATCATTGCTATAGCCATTGTAATCTGTCATTGTAATCATTGCTTATTATAAATCTTCAGGAGTGAAGATCAATAAAATAAATATTTTGTCAAGCAGTCTACCATTTAAACAATTCTTATTAGTGGATAAACTTAGCCATTTCTGAAAAATTAATATTGCATCTCCTATGTCAAAAATAATAGTATAAAAATTGTCAAAGAATATTCATTGTGTTACTCATGCTGAATAATATTCAGTACCACTTTCATAAAACAGAAAATTAAGAAAAAAGTTGTGAGATAATTCTGGAACAGTGTCTATGTCACAATTTGCGCAAAATTTAATTTCATGTACAACAAAATTTTACTTGCGCATGTTACAAGATTCAAGAAGACATGAATAATTTATGACTGCATTATGTGGTATCACCTGCAGTGTAAACCTTTGGTATGTCAATAAATTTTTTGTACGTCTCATACGTTCGTCACCATTGCTACAGCTAACTGATATTCCTTAATGATCTTTATATATATAGGGAAGTATAATTCAAGTATAGTACAGGTAGCAGAAGAATCGTGTACATCAAGACAGCCATTCTAACGCTTGTTTGTAGAAGTTCCAACGCGAGGATGAGTTGGAGCGCAGAATTGAGAGCATTTGCTGTCCTATAAATAACAAATACAATTTAGAAAAAATTGAAAAACACGTCTCGACATCTTGTAATCACTTTGTAACATTTTATTTTACTGTTCATTGACTCAAACTATTAAGTCAATGAAATGACTGGTTCATTTAACTTTCACAGGTTTTTCATTTTAAATAAAATTTGTCTAAATATTTTTATTGAGGCATATGTTAATTTTTATCAAAGCGAAGAATGTATTTCTCCAGACTGTTAAAGATTATGGTTATTGTACGGTTTCTAAGTTAGGCAAGCATATAATTATTCTGTTATTTTTGCTATTAAGAAGTCTAAAAACTTGAATGTTAGCAAAAGTAGTCGCATTTAGTTAATTCTTGTTTCATTATACTTTTGATATAGTTACTAATCGACCCAGAAATAATTGGAAGGTACGATACTCACATTATTAACTCCACATGTCTCTCCACTAACTCCTTAACTTTCGACTGATATCCATTCTCCGAATCCTCTACAATGTTCTGTATACGATACGACAAAATCGAAAATTTACCGCAAACATGTAACACCAAACTAAGCAGCAGACTAATACTAGTTATATGAAATATCCCTATACACATTATAGGCAGCTCATACGCGTACAACAGCATGTAGTACTTAAAATTGTCTTCGTAGTCAAAAAAAGAGTGAATTCGAAACGGTAATCGGTACATTCCTGTTCCATTTCCTACAAACAAGAATGATAACAACTTTTGTAATCTACAAACACTTTTGCAAGTATATTGTTCTTTAAACAAATACCTGTGCCTTTCAGCAATTTCAACATAGGAGTGGAGTACCACATCACCACTATAACAGCAGTCGTCCTCACTGCATATCTCCCAAAATTGTCAGAGATGATATTATAAGTCAAATACAGTTGTTTCTCCTCGTTATTCCGAAAATCGTCCTCCGCGAGCTCTCGTTTCATCGTGGCAATCACGTGCTTAATCATTTTGCTGAATCGGAATAGAAACAACATCAAATAGGTTGTCGTGCCGAGAGTGTTGTCCAGTATGTTCTCCACCATGAGTTCTAAGTCGCCCATCACGTCATACAGGTCCATGTCCATGATGACTATGTAAACCGAGAGGTAGAACATGAAGATCACGAACTTCTCTGAATCGAAATAGAAACAGCATCAAATATGTAGTCGTGGCGATCGTGTTGTCTATAATGTTCTCCACCATGAGTTCTAAGTCGCCCATCACGTCGTACAGGTCCATGTACATGATCACCATGTGAACTGAGAGATAGGACATGTACATCACGAACTTCCTGTAGGAATTGTTCAATGGCCAGGCGTCGCATATCCAGAAGACACGCTCGTTCAGAATGAGCACGTCCTTTATTTGAGTCTCTTGATCCTGGAATATGCGTTATTCTATGCAAACTTGCGTAGCTATAGTTAGGTTAGGTTCAGTATCACAGGGTGGTAATAATAGTTATCACGAGATGGTTATAAGGTGGTAATTTAGAATCTCAAGAAACGACAGGAGATATAATATTTAGGACTGCGTTCGTAATTTTTTGTTACATCATATCAATATCGAGTGATCAGTTGCTTACGATTGCCAATTTTTAATCACTCAATTTCTTTACCATAAATTTTAAAATATTTAAAGACATAGTAATATTACATGAAAGTTTCACAAAATATCACTCGAGTCTTTTAAATTTGAAACGTGGAGAAAATGCAGAAACGTTAATATTGTTAATGTGTATCCATGTTTCGAAGTTCGGGAAGGCTGACAAGATTTCTTCATTTAAAACTATTACGAAATAACACTTATTTCCTGTTAGCTTAAAGTCTGAAGAGTTGTACGATTAATAATTTCCTCAGAAGAGAGATTGCACAACTCAAACCTCTAACACCACGAAGAAGAATAAAATGTATCATGACTATTAGCCGACATTTCCTATATTATCAATAGCAACTTAAAATATGATATTTCACATAAGTTCTGACAAGATTCAACACCGAATCGAATTGCATCTTACGTTCATCATGGTATTCGACAGGGTCACGATCTGCCGACGACTATTTTCGACAGACGTTGCACGAAATCGATGAAACTGTAATCACTTTTGAAAGTCGTCTTCGATGCACGTCACCCTGCAATTATTACTTTATGTCTCCCGGTTTTTCAGACAATTTTGCATTTGCAATATTTAATTGCTCAAGTTCAGTCAAACGCTTTCTTAGAGCGTTTTTTCTTAGCGTAATCGTCGGAGCAACATGTACGAACTTAATCGCCAGAAGCTTTTCTTCTCGGTGAAATAATCAATGGTCGACAGTTTACACTTTACGAAAACGAGCAAGAAACAGCGGTTAATAGAATCCTCGTAATATATTTATCTGGGCAAATCTCTACACGAGTACGAAGTAACGTAGTGGAAGAATGAGTTCATCGAGGTCTGATGTGCTACGATCCAGTGAATTCGATACGATGAGGTGTAATTGATCGTGTGATTGAATCGTTCAGACGCGTTTTATTCTTTCGCCTCGTAGGATGTCTAGATGGTGTTCGTAATAGTTCGACATTTTTCAACTTGCAATAGGATAATGTGAGTTGTGCAAGTTTTTATTTCTATGAGTCTATTTCTTGAGAGTATAGAAGACTCAAGAAAATGCAAGTAGTTTAGCAGTAAACGTACCAGTACACTTAATACAAAATTAATAATACGGTAGACAAATGAATACATCACAGTATTTAGATATTGCAATATTGATAAATAAAACATAAATTAACATGCAAAGTAATTCTTGATGTCCATCATGTAAAATCAGCATGTTTTTTAAAAATACCTGAACAAATTTTTCAACTTAAAATGAGAAACCTATAAAATGATCATTTAACTTATTTGGTAGCTCTAATGTTAAACAGTGCGTACTTCTTATACGATTCATTAATTCATAACTTTGAAAAATTTCATACAAATTTGAATGTTTGGAAATGTTAAGTTTATCTTAATGGTTCTCGAACAGGCCTACTTAAGAAAAATCCATCAGATAGTGATGCATATCGTCAAAAATAAACATCATTATACACGACATCGTTGATAAAGATAAATCTTCCATGCGGAAATGTAAATTATTTCGGGCGCGATTCAGTATTTGCATTCCTGGAACCTGTCGTAAATTTGTTCTGCGATCACCGGTGAATTACAACCATAGAATAATTTCTGCAAGAAGGAAATATTCAGCGTGATGTTAGAATCTTTGTGTCGACGAGAAGTGTCGATAAGAAGTCGAAGAAAAAACTGGTATCGAAAATTAGTAGATATAAATTATCAATGATGGTTCTTTTGCACTTTGTGAAACGTTTGGTGAAATCGTTTGATTGTGAGACGCTCATTGAGAAACAGAGCTAATTATGATATTACTCCAAAGGTCATAGATTTGAGAAATTGTTTTCATATGGTTCGAGTGTTATTCTAAGCAGTAGGTTTAATGTTGGAAACAACAAAATTATTACAAATTCAGTTTTTTAGTATTTTTAATATAAGGCAAGTAACATTAGGTGATCACTAAGATTTATTTATTAATTAGCAAAGCAGTTTGTTATAAACATAATATAAATAATGAAAAGAGTTGAAATGATTTTAAAGAAAAATTTTTAGAAAACTCTTCAATGTCCATTTTTCTTTTTTATCTTTCAACAGTGTTGAGTCTTCTTTGGTTTCCTCCTAATTCAAATTCGAGTAAAATTTAATACTTTGTTACATGATTACGTCAATTTTGAAATAACATAATTTTGCAACTCAAACAGTGATTATAATTATAACTTTTCACAAGTAAAACCGCTTTAAAGCATAAGTTATCGCAGTTACATAAAATTCGATATCAGGCACATTTTCTGTTTGGTGATGAAATAATTAATTCGTAGCACACGTTTATAAAATTTTAATTTATTACATTGTTGTTCCCTTTTTATCGCATTATAGTTGCTCTTTAAACAATATCGTCTTTGATAAGACTTCACACGATAAATGATGAGGTAAACAAACGAGTTTCATATCTAACTTTGGCTTGAACCAGCATGCACGCTAGTTCGCCACTTGTAAATTACGATATTCGTTTGGTGAGTTTTGTGACTACCGTGATATTAGTTTTATGAGATAAAATCAATTTAAATTTAAACGCGAACCGGGCAGTTGATTAAAAAACAGTTTACAGTTACAAATTGATTCTTAATTAAACGCAATAATTAATTGGGAATAATTCAATAATTTATAATTAGTGTTTAAATTAAATTGTTTTTCATCCCCGGAAGTCGTGCAGTCTATCTAAAATCTGACAAAACTACTGGTGATTAAATTTAAAAAAGAACGAAGTGAAGTTAATGACCTAATTGCACAAACGTATCCAAAAGGACGTATTACGAGATTGTTATTTAATAGTTTTTATTTCTGTGTGTCACAGGAAATGAAGCATACAAGATAAACACAGATTTCCGGAACTTGCCTGGTATGAGCAAAAACTATTACTACAAACAAAATGGATAAAAGTGAAAGGAACCTATTGAAGAATCCGCGTCAAAATGCCAATCTATTATCTATTCTTACGTTCTGGTAAGAGTCATTAATCACTTAAGATTTATCGACAAAGATGACAGAATAAGTATTACCGGTTAACAGCTTCAAGTTTTTGGTAATATCTTTTTTTCGTGCTTTTATCATTAAGATGATTCACCATGTGTTAATTTATCATAAATTAATTTATTGTAAGTTTGTTCATTACGCGTTGTATTGCCACGCGTTATATTGCCACGCGTTAAATTATTACATTTTATATTGCTACGTGTTATATCGCTACGCGTTATATCGCCATGCGTTATATTGCCATGCGTTATATCGCCACGCGTTATATCGTTACACATTATATCGCCACGCTTTATATCGCCATGCGCTATATCGCCACGCACTATATCGCCGTGCGTTAAATTACTATATCTTGTATCGTTACTTACTATAGCATCACTCATTATAGATCATCACACGTTATATTGTTACGCGTTATGTTGCCACGCGTTACATCGCCACACGTTATATCGCCACGCGTTATATCGACACGCGTCATATTGCCACGCGTTATATCGCCACGCGCTATATCGCCGTGCGTTAAATTACTACATCTTGTATCGTTACTTACTATAGCACCACTCGTTATAGATCATCACGCGTTATATCGACACGCGTTATATCGCCACACGCTATATCGCCGTGCGTTAAATTACTACATCTTGTATCGTTACTTACTATAGCATCACTCATTATAGATCATCACACGTTATATTGTTACGCGTTATGTTGCCACGCGTTATATCGCCACGCACTATATCGCCACGTATTACGTTACCACGCACTGTACCGTTACACATTCATTCACAACGCGATTTCATTATATATACTTAATTCTAAAAATGTGTCACTCCTACAATCTCGTCGATTGCAATATAAAAGCCTACTATAATTCAGCAAGTTGCATTCTTTCATAATTAACAAATAATATATTTCTGCCATACATGACGTACGAAAAGGAGATAACACCTTTATCTCTTTGGTTTAATTTTATTATTAAGTCAAAAGGTACAATATTTTGTACGATTAAAAAATATTTGACAGGTGGATCCTCAAGTTGTTCATTGTCGGTTACAAAAAAGAATTGGAAGAAGAGGATTTGTATTGTCCATTGAGAGAGGACAGGAGCAGTTACTTAGGCGAACGTATTGTAAAATATTGGGAGATTGAAGTGAAACGACACGAGAAGAAGAAGGATAGCCCTAAACCAAGTTTATTTAGGGTATTGTACAAATGCTTCGGTAAAATTGTCATGAACACTGGACTAGCACTGTTTGTTCTAGAATTCGGCATACGGTACAGTAACAAACACATACAAACAGGTTAATGGTATCACCGATGCACTGTTCAGAATAATTGCTGGAAATGATTAAGTCAATTCGTCATAGGATAATTACTTACGAATCTTCGATCACATTCGAATATAATTTTTGGGTTACATAACCCAATATAATTTTGTAGAGGTTTACTTTATATTACACTACTTAAATATACTCAAATTTAACATAGTAGTTGCAATTGCTTTAACTTGTCTAAGATATTATATTCAACATGAGTCATATCGACATGCAACTAGTCGATTTAATTATTTTGAACAGTGTGACTCACAAATTCTAAAAAATCGTTTTGTCGCAAAAGAACATACTAACTACTGTGTACTCCGTGTGTGTTATTCAAATTATCGGTGTATCATTGACGATGTCACTTTAAATGCTAATAGAAATACGCGAAAGAGTTGAACATTAACCCAAGTCAAGAACCTCTAAACTCACGTGTTAGGGAACTGCATAGAAAAGAAAATATTCAAAGAATAAGTGGTTATTAAAATCGCATTATGTTTCAGGATCATACATCCTTTCCTTCTCGCTAGATTACTACGTTACTTCGCTGGGAATAGAAAGGATTGGACCAGTGATGTACATTACTATGCAGCAGCATTTTGTTTACTACCTTTGCTAGATGTTCTGATTATGCATTGGTCCTTACAAACCTTGACGCATGTCGGAATGAAAATTAGAGTGGCTTGTTGTACCTTGATTTATAGGAAGATATTGAGACTATCCAATTCTGTCCTTGAAAATGAAACCTCTGCTGGGCAGGTAAGAAATTATACTTTCAAACTTGCTAATTAATTCGAACAGTTTAGATATTATAATATGATAATCCACCACCGTTTCAAACTTTCTAACGACTAGGGTTTAAGTTTGAACAATTGTGAATTTGTAGATTTTTTAATTTGAAGACTTAAACATTTATAAATTTGTAAAATTAAAATTTCAGAAGTTCTAAGTATGAAATATTAAAAGCACATGCACCCATATAAAATTTAACTCTTTCAGCTTACATGAAAGTGCCATATAGCGAGACTGTACATTAATTACGAGATCGGTTTGATTGTAAATGTTAATCTTTCAGATGGTTAATTTCTTGAGTAACGACGTTAATCGTCTCGATTACTTCGTCTTTAGTATTCATTATTTATGGATTGGACCTCTACAAGTATTTCTAATAGCCTATTTAATATATCGTGAGATAGGCCTGGGAGCTATTACTGGGATGATGACATTTTTATTATGCATACCATTACAGTGTAAGCATAAAAAAGTGCATATAATTATATCTTCAGATAACTCTTCGTGCAAAACAAAGTTACTGCGTTAAGGAAAATAAAATTGCACACTATTAATTTATAAAATGATATATTACATAATTTTATTTAAAAAAGGAAACATTTATGACTTTCCAAGTGCATGCGATATCATTCATATTATAATTACTAAAACTTATGCAAATTTTACACCACAAAACATGCGTTTAAATTATTATTTTTATTGTTTAGTATATTTTGGAAAGAGAGTGTCACGTTTGACTCTTGTATCGGCCCAGAAGACTGACAATAGATTAAGTTTGATGAACCAAATTATAGCTGGTGTAGAATTAATCAAGATGTACGTTTGGGAGGTACCGTACTCTCTTCTCGTTGAAAAAGCTAGACGGTAAGTGAAATTCTCAAAGCCCTCTTTGCTTATAACTCTTCTATAAAAATAAATTATTAATTGAACTTTCTTTAGAAAAGAAGTGGATGTGATCAAGAAATATTCGATTGTCGAGCAAATAGGTTTAACGTGTGATATCTATGTTCCTCGAGTCAGCTTATTTATTACGATATTAACCTACGTTTTAACTGGCAACACCATAGATGCCGAGAAAGTATTTATGACTACTGCGTTTTACGCCATTTTACAAAGCTCTATGACCGTCGGTTTCACTCTAAGTAAGTCACTTCTTTTTTATATTCAATATTTATTGATAGAAGAATACACCTAAATAGCATTTTAATCATATAGGACTCTTCTTCTAAGGTCTCAATTATACTAAACAAGTTCATAATATTCCCACATATTTTTCCAGGTGTCCATCTGCTAGCTGAAGCCATGGTGTCCGTCAGGCGTCTCGAGAAGTTCATGATGCACCCCGAAATCATTCCTCCGCCGAAGACGCAGAATCAAGTAGCCACCCAATCACTGCCCGTATACCTGAAAAACGTGTCCGCCAGGTGGGACGAGTCCAGAGACTGCACTTTACAAAACGTAGATTTATCGATACAAGCCGGAAGCTTCGTAGCGGTGATCGGACAAATCGGTTCTGGAAAGAGTAGCCTCCTAAAAGCGATACTCAGTGAGTTACCATTACAAGATGGCATCCTAGAAACCAGCGGTAAAATAAGTTTCGCCGATCAACGACCTTGGATATTTGCCTCCTCCATCCGACAGAACATACTGTTTGGTCAGCCTTACAACGAAAAGCGTTACAACGAGGTGATTAAAGTCTGTCAACTAAAACGCGACATAGATTCGTTTACGCACAAAGACAGCACGATGGTCGGCGAAAGAGGGATCAATTTAAGTGGCGGTCAACGAGCTAGAATTAATTTGGCCCGTGCCATCTACGCCGAGGCCGACATATATCTGTTGGATGATCCTCTATCGGCGGTCGACGGACACGTGG